ACCGAGACCTGTGACAATTTAGTGTTCACTTTGTGACAATTACACTACCTTTTGTCTCCCATTCAGAAGATATCGTGTTATATCAGGTTGCATTAATTGAGTTGTAGCAATGATTCGAATATCAATACATCAACACTGGATAGAGTTCTCGGATTACAAACTACTCAAAGTAAAATTGAAAATACGCAAGCAATTACTCTGCTGTGATTAACAAATAGAAGAAAAAAATTATATTAAATTTAACAGTATTTTCTATCCAAAGTATCTAATCAAGTAAATATACCATATTGTTGAAAATACAAGATAGCTTTCTTTATTTTTAATTTGTGGGAATCTTTGTGTGCGCGCGCGTGTGTGTGTGTGTGTGTGTACTGCTGTTTTATTTTCACAATTAACAATCGTAATGTTACTAATATAATTATATATAAAATATAATTATACAATTAACAAGAAATATTATCTTAACCTCAATGCAACACACGGCAAATATATTTTAAACGATGATCGGAGCCAGATATAGCACACAGGTAGCCAGATAGTCGGAAATCAATACCAGTCTACTTAAGGACTTCGTAAAATCCGATTACCACATTGATGCTCCATACTTCCTTATAAATGAATTGTATCACAGTTCATCTCTCAGTGATCTTATAAACGTGTTGAAATCGTATTTCAGACTCACTCAAATCGTGCAGTCCGCTTTATAGCGCGATCTTTCTTCGTTTCTTTCAAACGTTCGTTGTCGCATCCACGTTCAATAAACGCTTTGCGCCGAAGATAAAAAAAGGAATCTGGTGTAGAAAAAGCGTTGTGTTATCGCTCGTAATTCTTCAGATTACCAGTCGGATTTTAACAGTATGTACGCCAACAAGTAATACTGATAGAGACTTGATTTCACCTTTACCACCTTCTTCAGTTTATGCAAATGCGAACGTTTTGTCGAGATCCCAAATCCATTCGCTTGACCCTTTCAATGCTAAATTAGGATGCGGCCATCGCGCCGCTAGGTGCTGACTTAGGAAAAGCAATTTCAAGCACTTCAGAGCTATTGACCCATAAAGAGATATGGACACTAAATAAAAGAATATTAAAAGTTCAATAGTCATTCAAATATCATATATAGCAGTAATCAATTTCTCAATCAAATCAATGTTCTTTTACAGACTAACGACCGCGAACAATAATTTCTTTGTAATAACGTGTCGCTGTTTGTACAATAAATAGGTATGTCAAAAGTAAATTCATGATCACTGTCGCGTGGAAGTTTCAAACGGCAACAACTAAGACAACAAAAACTTTATCAAAATTATTAAAGTTGTAAATCATGGATAATCCAATTGATTATACTTCGTACCACGAAGCACGATATTAGCAAACACCGAAGTATAAAATTTATTTATAGTACAATATGATCGATAAAGTTTTCAGTAGTTCGACGTCAATTGATTCATATATTGACAGCCCCATTTCCTTAACACGCGAAACATGAAATTTGTACAGGAATGTAAATGGCAGAAGGAAATACGTAATTGAGCTGTCGTAAAGAATTGATAAATTGATAGAAATTCCATTAATTATATAATCGATCTCAGCTTATAAGAAGTCTCGTACAATAACTCTCATCATTATACACACTCATCTATAAAAAAGAGCAATAAAATACCTATCAAATTAAAATTAAAATTGCATAGTATTACAAGTTGTAGAATACAGAAAATGATTTGCAAGATTTGTTCCTCTTGGTACTTTTTAATTTTTTATTTATATAACGTGTATATTCATATTTTCATAATATAATCTTTAATATACATATATATATTATAATTAAAAATTATATATAATAATTAATAATAATGCTGTAGAGTATATAATAAAAACAAAGTTAATGGTGTTGTATTTAATACTTTTCACTGTAATAACATTAATTCAAAATATATACGTTAATGAGGAACACGTATAATTTATACATATAACGTTCTACTCGGGAAATCTGAGATAGTTTCCAACTCCATGGGAATTATAATGAAATCTCGGACACAATCTAATGAAGAAACATATAAGCACATTGTTAACTATACCCGCAGCAATATTATATATACAAATAAGAACTAATTAAATTACTAAAATGTTGTTAATATAAATAATTAATTACTATTTGACTCAGTTTCATATTTATGAGATAGTATTATATTATTGGGAACTAATATAAGTAATTTAAGCTGTTTAAGATTTTATTATGTTAACAATATGTATATTATAAGAAGAATGCTTAAAAACAATGAGACTCTTTAAAAATATAATTGAGAACCTAAACCAAATATATTCACATATACTATATATGCGTATGTTCAATATGATACATGCACATCGAACACGTATAGTGTTCAATGTGATATGTATGATACGTGCACATCGAACACTGTGTAAAGAAAAATCTCCATTTTCCATTAAATATGTATATGTTCTTTCCATAAATTCAATGGATACTGCTATATACATGCAAGAAACAAATATGAAAAGAAATATTTGTAAGATATTCAAATACACATAGAAATATACAACAGAAATTTTAAGAATTTTTCTTCTATTGTATATCATTTGAAAAAAAAATTTGTCCTTCAACCGTTGAAAAAAAAATTATGTTTTTGCAAGAACTTCGAAAACTACTCGGGTTTTTTTATGAAACTCGAAACATACACAAAACTTCATCAAAATAATTCAAATAATTTTCAAAATTTATAAAAAAAATAAAATGTTTCCTTAAACTTCGAAACTCTGTATGTTTTAAACATACGGGCATATGGTCATATAAAGTTTTTACCTTGAATTTGTGTAAAAAATCACTCCTTAAAATCTTTTACATTATTTATTATAGTATCCATCCAGTATATATACAGGATGTCCCAGTTTATATTTGACAATCAAATATTTAGAAATTGCGGGGTTTTCGAGAAAAATATTTTAGATAAAAGTTGTAATAGGGTTTCGAGGGAGACGTATTTGATCAAATTGCTTTTTTCTAGATAGAGACGCTAAAAAGATGTAAAGATCAAATCCATTTTTGAAATAATATAATCTTTTTTAAGTAATTCCTTTAATTATTTTGCATATAAAAATATTAAGGTAAAATTATCAACAAATCAATACTTTATGAGATATTTTGTACTTAATCATATTTCGACATAAAATGAAATATCTGGAAAACTATTGATTTTTTGATAATTGTACTTTAATATTTTTATGCACAAAATAATGAAATAAATCGATTGGTGTAAAGAAAACTTACAGTTGCTTTTTGAAAAAAATATAAACATATTTTTTTACAATTTTTGTATACTTTTATATGCAAAATAATTAGAGAAAACCTATTATATAAAAAATAATATAATTATATGTATAATCTATTTTAAAAAATGGAGATGACATATCTTTTTAGCGTTTTTATCTAAAAAAAGCAACTTAATCAAAATACGTCTCCCTCGAAACCCTACAACCTTTTTCTGAGACATTTTTCTTTAGAATTCCACAATTTATAAATATTTATTGATTGTCAAATACAACATGGAACTTTATGTATATATGTAGTATATTTAATATTTTTATATTAATTTATTATATTTTATATATATTTATACGTTTAATTTTTTATGTCTTAGTATTTTAATGTATTGCTTCAAAAAATGTAAATATTGATACACAGTAATAGTACATAAAAAGCAGGGACCTGGATCGTATCGAAACCCAAAATTGGATATATTGTGCAGGTTAATAGACCGAACCCAAAGTTTTTTTTTATTTTCGGTCCGTTTGTCGGTTTGGTTTTCGGTTCGGAAAAAAATATACGGCACCTATCTTCCGTCTTTCTTCATAATCAAATTTCACGCCTTACGCTCAATCTATTCTTACTTATATCTATGGAGTATCCTTACTCTATGGTCCGCGTATTTGATGCACGAAGTAGAACAGTGTAGTGACTAAGTTCGTGTAAACTGAAAAACAATATCTTGGAATTCTGGCAAGAAAAAAGTATACTCAACCAGAGTTGTACAAATTAGCGATGGTTATTCTGGCGGTACTAGCCACGTAAATGAGTGTCGAACGGCTGTTCTCAGGATTAAAATTCGTGCTATCCTCACTATAAGAATGAACATCGATGAAACAATCCTGGAGAGTCAACTATTGGTTAGAGCTAACAGAATTTTCATCAACAAAGATTTTTTATAATATACAACTTATATTTGTATTACCTTTTATATAATCTCTTTTAAAAATTTTACAATAAGTAATTATATAAGTAATTATATAACCGTAACCGAAAAAGACCGAAATCCAAAGAGTTACGGTCACAGTTATCGGTAAAAGAATTGAAACCAAAATCAAAACCGAAAGTTTATAGCCTTGGATTGTAATCGTAACTAGACCAAAATGAAATATCCGGGTCGCTGCTGGAAAGTGATCGATTTGCAAAAAAAGATCGTATTTCATACGTAAATATACATATAAACATATAAAAGCTATTTTAAAATAATAAAAGAAATATATTATAATATATATCTTTGATTTTTTCCGAAATTAGAAGCTATATTAAATACTACATAAGAAAAGTACAAAACGTAAGAATAAATGTTCAATTATTGTATCAATAAAGTGAATAAAACGTTTGTCCCTTTTTATGCTTTATCGAATACTTCAATTGAATAAATAGCCGAACACAAATGATTCAGACTATAGACAATATAGATTACGTCAGTAAAATATTTGAAATATCCACCATATTGATCACATTGGCAATGAAAACATGTGATAGTTTTTGTCAAGTAAATTCCATGCGACTGTAGTTACACTCGCACAATAAATTTTCCACATAATTACATATTTCTATAATAATATCTCACATATTAATATCTCACGTATTACAAACATAAAAATTATACACACATTATATAGGTATTTTTTCTTTGCCGTTACGATACAAGCTATAGAATATATAAAAATAAATGTAGAAAAAATTATTCATTTATTCATAATGGTTTTTTATGATTAATGTATATACTTTAATATAATAAACACAGATTTTCATATACTAATAATCAAATTCTATAGAATACTATTGATTAATTATTCTATAGAAATCTGTGACAATAAATAATTAATCGAGAGTTATTGACATATACAATACAAAATTAATGCTTTTTTACAGTGCTCAATTAATCGTATAATAATCGATGGTATCAATAAATTTAGGAACATCTCGTATAAGACTCATTTGAGCATAACGCATGTCTCTGGTCTTGTTCAACATTTGAAATTACTTCTTGAATCCATGAAATATGCCTAGATACATCTGTATATAAAGTATACAAGTTGTTGTCGCAATGAGCAATCCCACCGTCTTGTATCGTGCCAAGGGAAACGCTAACAATACCTCGGAGATACCACGTATTATTAGTCTTAAAGACTAATCCACCGCCACTGTCACCATCACAAACAGAAGAACCTGAAACATACAATTCTTATGTAAATTAAATTACCTTTTATTTTTTGCAACTTTCCACAGAATAATTATTCTTATATTTATCCACCTTTTTCTTTTTTATCTTTTCTTACAAAATTCTTACAAATTTAAATAACTACATGTTTTACAAATATCTTTCAAATAAAATATAGAATAGAACACATCGTGCTTATCATTGTCACACAATTTATCATTTACTAACCATTTCTGTAACCTGCGCAAAACTTATCATTGGTGATAAATTGTCGCGTATTAGCATTTTGACTCGCGGATATGCACTGGCTGAACGAAATTACAGGTACTATCAAAGCTTGTAACATTGCGCTAGTTTCACCGTGTGCAGTTCTACCAAATCCCGCTACCTTCCCGTAAGAGCCTACTTCCACTGCACTTTTATCGCTTACAGTATTTATACATACTGGAACCAACCATGTTGACAGTACAAACGGTCTGACGAGTTCTAATATCGCAATATCCCAAAGGTAATTTCCCACAAGTCCCAGATAATTGCGTATAATGTAAATATGTTTCACCTGCAATAAGGCATCTTTAAACGCTTATGATTGACAATATTTCATACACATTAGTTTATATTGCATTTCTTTTATATATATAAATTTGCAAACCTGATTGTATTTAACGAGGATTCGATTGTGATAGAGATAATCATAATCACGAAAGAGATTTCCCACTAGTACATAAATTTTACTGGCGTCATTCAGTTGTCCAGTATTCTCATCAAATACACAATGAGCTGCCGTTATTAGAAGTTTCTTTTGAATAATGGTCGCTCCACAAAAGTACTTCTTTGTCTTGCCTGGTTCATCGCGATACAACGAAGCGTGCCACGGAAATTCTGTAATATTCGGTCGTACACCGCCAACAATGGTCGCTTTAACATCGGGAGGTAGAGTGCCGCATGCTACAATAAAACAAACATTTTGGTTAAAAAATCGTTTTTGCATGATAATACAGAAGAGTGTAAATATGATGTAATTATATACATGTGTGTACAAAACAAAAAAAAATAATTTGTAATTATCATAACCCCACGTCATAGCGATACTTTTGATATTTCTTTTAATAAGATGGAAAAAATTGAGACATGTCGAAATCACGTAAAAGTATATTTAATGAATATTTATATATGCGTTTATATATGTGGGTGTGTCTGTGTGTGTATCCTCACATAATAGTATATAAATGTATATATACTATATATATAGCAGTATCTCCACAGTAATTAGAATTAAATTTTGATACTTTCAATAAAACTTTAATTTATTAGAAGATAATTTCAAATCATAATTTAAATGGAAACTAAAATATATGAAGAATGTAACAGGTAAAGTATCTGAAAGAAAGAGATACCTATAATAATAGTATCACTTACATGATTATTGATCGCAAGCTGTAAAAATATTATTCAAAGTTATATAAATTCTACTACATTCTTTAATTCTAAAACATGCTCATCTGTTCTATTGTTTTTTTCTATCAAATTGCGTAAGTTTATAATGTCAATAATATGAATATTTATCGTAAACAGACCAGAAACGCATCGTATAAGTTCTGGTTCCCATTCACCATTCATATTACATGTCACAGTGTTTCCTTGTACGAACAGTAGGTTATTTTCAGGGCGATAACCGTTTTGACAATCCAATATTGCTTTTGTTCCTGGAACTGAAGTTTTGCACGATATCCATTGGTCATTGTATGTACATCTAGCTTGAATTGAAACTGTGGTCAAAACTTTGCAGCCTATTGCTGTCAAACAAACAATTTGAATAATTAACGCATAACCATAATTTTGATAGCTTCCATTAAAATATTCGGTATATAGAAATACATAATTACTTGCCTTTATATATATTTTTAAATAGTTAAATATTTTAAGAATATGTAATTATTGATTTAATACCTATGCATTTTGGAAATGTTAGGGGTACTTTGATATTCCATCCTCCTTGTAGGCACCTAAAATCGTTTTGACCTATTATTTTATATCCCAAGTTACAAGAGTAGATGAGACGCGTTCCATATGCCAGTGGCTTTCCATCGGGAACGATACATTCCTTTTCACCTGAGCATTGCGACGGATGTAAGTTCCGACGACCGTTCGGCGGTCGTGGAGGTGGTTCGCATTTATAGTTAAGATGTATTTCAGGGAAGGGCAAATTATGTAAAAAATCATTCAACGCGGCTCGAGGTAGCCGTGGTTTGTACATTGATTGTAGTTCTGGCTGTAAACCTCCTGGCCATATGATTCTGCGACATAGTCTCGAATCCTCGTCCGATCCATCGACACAATTTCGAGTTCCATCACAAACATTAATGCTATAAATGCACTGGCCATTATCGCACTTAAACTGATTCGCCTCACATTTACGTATAGATCTTTTTGTATGAACGTTTGTTATATTTCTTGTACACTGGAGCTGCGTTTCGTCACTGTTGTCAATGCAGTCCTGAATGCCATTACATACGTAGTCTCCGTTTATGCAGCCACCGTAATTGCAGCGAAAAGCATAGTTAGGACACAGAATCTCTTTGCACTCGGCCACTGTCTCGTCAGATAAATCCTTGCAATCTGCTCTGCCGTTGCATAGTAATTTGCCAGTTATACATTGTCCATTATGGCATCGAAATCTTTGTAGCCTGTTT